ATGGGGTCAACTCCTGGGGTGTTATTTGTTATCTGTATGATAACAAATAATGCTGTCTATGCTGTCCCCATGTTTGTATGTGTTTACTCCAGGTTTTCTTGTTTCCTCACTCAGTCCAAAGACATACTGGTAAGTGAATTGGCTTCTGGGAGAACTGACCCTGGCAAGAGTGTCTGTCTATCTGTCTTGTGGTGGACTGGTGTCCCATCCAGGGTGTATCCTGCCTTACACCTCTGGAATGGGCTCCAGCTCCTGTACATCCGTGAAATAGATGAAGTGGTTAGGAAATGGATGGATGGATTCCACTGGGTTTTTGAGGTGGGATTAATAAATGTAAAAGGAGATAATTGTGTGAGATTGAACAACTCCAGCATTGGCATACTAATGAGTTTAATCATAAATGATTTGCTTTAGCTTAGAGGTTCACATTAGTAACATGACCATCATATTTTCACTTTCATTCTTAGTGATTTTATCATTAATCTCTTGTTGTTTCCTATGAATTGTCTTGACACATTTAAGTATCATGTTTCTGAGATTGCTACAGTCTGCTGTAAAAAAACACAGTGAAGGCGTGTCAAAACAGCAGAGAACCACAGAAAAACTGTAATGGAAACTCAAGGGAACAAAATGCTTGTTTTTTTGTCATCTCATCTTGCCCCACAGGACCCAGGAGCAGAAACCACACAGAGTGTAAATGTTTCTCTATGGATGACCCTGGAGCTGTAGAAATCAGTGTTCACATCTTGTGTGTTAAAGCAGTTAAACCACAAGTTATCTTATTTGCCACTTCCTATGATTAATGATTATTCTATATACATACAGTAGAAAAGATAGCATTGTTAAATATTTACTTTATAACTTAAGTAAAAAACATTATTTGTAGAAATAAAGACATTAGTGGAAATATTAAGAGTGCCATTTTGTACTGTATATAGTACTCATGACTGAAGCATTGACATGTTGACAGGACATTGTTCTATGCCAGATGTTGAAAGTCAGGTATATACTGTACAGTATTTTAACAACACCATACCATTGTCTGTGATTTTCAGATTCAAGATATAAGGTACTGTAGAGATAGACTGTAATTGAGAGATTTTACTTTTTCATGTAGAAATCTGAAATTAACTGTGCCCTTTTCAAGACTGAGAAACACAAGTTTCCTGTACACATACTGTTTAAGATGTATACAACCTCATGAAAGGACATTTGAAAGAATACATAAAGTTTCTTAGAGGAAAAAGAATTCATGTATGCAAATGATGGCTTTGAAGGTTTTCAGGCACAGTTTTCCATTTTGTGGAAATGAATTTAGAGAAATAATGTGAAGACTTTGATTAGTCTTGCTTTCAATTTAAACATAATTGGAATTATGCAATGTGATGGCAAAATGAATGCAGCTGCTTGTTTAGATGCTTTTGTAATAATCTAGGAAGTTAAATCAGAACTGAGAGCCTCACACCAGGCAATGTTTTCTGGAGAGCACCAGAACATGTGGTGTGCAAGAAAAGGCAATAACTTGGACAGATATGCTGCAGGCAGTGAAAAAAGTAGATTTATATTATCTTTTCAACCCCTTGTGTGACCTACCTACACAAGTACAATGGAGTTATATTTCTAGTCTCTGATGCATCAGTGGCTCACTGGTACTAAGCCAGATGAACAGACATTATGCCAAAGACAGCAAAGAGACAGTAATTAATGAATAAACATTTTAGAACCTGGATGTACCCATAACAAAGCATCACTCTGCATTCATTTCTGTTTAACTGTGATTTTAGAGCTACCAGTCACAGAAAGCAATAAACTAATAAACATTTTAAAAGAAAGAACTAAATAAGTACTACTCCTGAAGAGATGTAAATTGATTTTTGTGTATCTCAGGACTGTTCTTTCTCTCTATGTGGGCTTGTGCTCCATTTGTACTCAACATGTTTTACCACGGAAAGCACTTAGCATTCAAATTATTCAAATTATTATTCTTACATCCTCCTATTGCACCTTCCATTGTTTCTCACTCCTTTTAATATTCTTGATTTACAGAAAATAGTTTTCAGTCTCAGATGGCTTCTTAACCCATTGGTTGTTAATGATGCTCTAGAGAAATTTTAAACCCACTTTTTCTTCCACCTCCTTGTCTCCCACTGAATCATAGAACAAAGCCTGCCTACAGTACTTCTACAATTGCAGATCTTTATCTTATCTCAGAAACTGTTTTAAACAATGGTGTCAGTGCAACATTCAAGGTAACATTCAGCCCTTACTTTCATAGGTTAAAACCTAACCTCCTTCAGTAGACTAGAAACCCCACTATGAAGGAAAACACTTGAACTCCTTTGTCCAACAATATTTTTCCACTGTAGGAATCTTAACAGTACCGAAATCTTCAAGTAGAGTATCAGCCTAGTCTTCCGCCTAGAAATGAAGGTATAGCAGCTTTCGCAATTGAATTATAATATGTTAGAAGAGAGAAAAGAAAAGAGAAAGGAGCAAAAAACTGTCTAGAATATCATGTGTATTTATTAAACTTGTGTTACTATTGTTTTGGAAAATCACGTATACCTTTCTGTCTTGACCACTTCTTACTTAAGAGACAATGTATATGACAAAACCAATACAAATTATTAATATTATTTTTAAGGCAGTATTAATTAAGTGCTACAGCAATAATTATAATATTCTGTATATTTTATTTTCCCACGGGAGTGACAACAGTCTTGAAGCAATCAGCAGGACAACTGATGTTCCAACATTGTTGAACTGGCTTTGCCAAAGTCAGGAGACATTAGGTTCTGAGCCCAACGAAGACAGAAACAAAAGTTAACTGGACAATGGCTTTCCTGCACCTTGCATTAGAATACTGAATCCCAGCCTTTCTTGCAGCCTTGGAAAGGGTAAAAGGAAATTATTCAGCTGTTTCAGTAATCCATGCCCCCAATGCTTCTGATAGCAAGCCTTGCCCAGTGTTGTTTCCAACACGAGTCTGTGCTACAAAGTGCACCCTGACACTTTGTCATTTGCAGCTCAAGCAAAATCGCTTAAGAATGTTACATAAGCTCCAGTCTGACCTCCCCCAGAGAGCACTGTACCAGATTTCTGCACTGCTGCACATCCACTATTATAAATCGGATTCATTTCAACAATGATTTTAACAACATAAGAACATTACTAAATGAGAAGAGATAATTTGGCCATCCAGCCCATTTGGTATTTAGTAGCCAATTTTTTCAAGGGATCACAACCAGTCATGTCTTGAAAGAAGTCAGAGGATTGGTGTGATGGGTGAAAATTAGCACCCAAATCTTTTTTTCATGAGCATTTTCTTCTGTCTCAGCATTTCCCAATTTGTTTGTTTAATCTGTTTTTGCTACTGTCATACAAACTTGTGCACTCGTATACCTTAAACAGCATCCGCCACTGAACTGTCTGGAATTTTTACATTTAATCATAGTAATTAGTGCTGCCCCATAAATGCACCAATGTTGCTGTGATCATCATCATCATCATCATCATTATTTTCCCCTGCATTGCCATTCACATAATCTTTCTTCACCTCACTATCAGCATGGAGGAAAGCAGTGAAATGCTGGATGCACTTTCGCTGTTTAAATGATTCCTGCCTTTTCAGAGTCCAAGCGTACACACTATTTCTCAGAATCGGTTCTCTGGTACAATAAAAATCCTTTTAATTCATTAAATTACAGAATATCTTTATAGTAAGACTACACTTCATGTTGTTATTGTTAATTCTAAGACAGGAGAGGCTGACTTAAAAAGTCAGATAGAGACCCAGTTGTAAAGTGGTTTAGTCGTGCACTGCTGGTGATACACTATGCTAATAGTTGGCTCAAGGTTAATTGAACAAACACTGTCATTTTTGACAAGGTGCTAAACACATCTTTAATGTTTATAGGACTTGATTTTTATTGATTTCATGTCTGTGTTCTTAGTTTCTCCTTTCATTGGTTCTATAAGACCAGCATTGAGTCAGAGTGGACTAGAGCTAGAAGCACTAGTATGTTCAATAAAGGGGTAAATAAGCTAAATGAAAACTAATTTGCAACAGAAAGACAGTGGAGGCGTGAATCTCTAGATCATGAAAGGGTGAATCCAGTCCATGTGTTGTCGGGCATTTTTTCCAGCAGTAACCTTTATCACTTAATTTTAATTATTTGGATAGGAAATCAAATTGCATGTGTGTGTCTCCATCTTTAATTCTTTATTTTGTTTAATTTAACAATTGAAAGCTTTCTGATACTCTTCTCAGTTGTGGAAGGTCTTAACTCTGATAGACAGATTAAATGTCTTCTTTCACAAGGCTGCTGAAACCTTTGCTAACATGCTGAAGAGGGAAAGTAAAACAACACAAAGGGTGAAGATGGAGAAAAGGTTTCTGAACAGTATTGAGAGTGTTTTGTGTGAATGTCTGTATTTATCTGCTCTTAAAGAAGTCTGGAGCTTGTAACAAAGGTAATCTCAAGATCTCTACTGGATCTTCAGCTATCACACAGAAAACATAGTGAGGATTTTGTCATCTATTTTGGAAAACATAGCTTTTCTTCTTCAATCTCTTCCATTGTCAACAGAATCTGACCCCTCAGAGTCTCGCATAGTGTACCACACTGGGTGAAACATACAAATAGGCTGCTATCTGATGATTGAAATCCCCTTTTCAGTCTATAACTTTGATTTCTATGCTGTTGTCATGCGAGAGTCATAGGATTCATTGAATATTTAAAACTCTGCAATGGTATCCCTGTCTACTCTTTCCTTACGACAGTTTGGCACTTTCTGGTGGTTAACGTGACACCAAAGACATTACAGTGTCTCAATATCATACGATATTGGACAAGATTTATTTTTACACATAAGCCATTACACAATAATGTGGAATGTGCATTTTATTCCCACAATTTTATTTTGTCACATCATTATTTCCAGTAATAAAGATGGAATATTGATTGGCTGAGTGACCGATTGATCATTTCCATATCCAGGGGGATGGCTCCACCTTCCTGCAGCTGGGGTCTTCCATCGAACAGCAGATCAATGCCATGTTCAAGGTGATGGAGGAGTACGACTGGGGCAACTTCGCCGTCATCACCAGCCTGTACCCGGGCTATGAGCACTTCGTTGATTACATCAGATCCTTCACGGACACCAGCTACTTTCTGTGGGAGCTCCAGGAAGTGGTCACCTTCGAAATGTCCGAGGGAGCCAACGACATCCGGTCGCGGCGGCTGCTGCAGCAGGTGGACGCCCAGGTGCTGATGGTCTACTGCTCTCACGAGGAGGCCCAGTACCTCTTCTCCATGGCCTCAGAGGTGGGCCTCATCAGCCCTGGCTACATCTGGCTCGTCCCCAGTCTGGTGGTGGGCAACCTGGACATTCCTCCTCCAGAGAACTTCCCTGTGGGGCTAATCAGCATCACCACTGACCGCTGGAAGATGAGTCTGCGCCAGCGAGTGAGAGATGGGGTGGCCATAGTGGTGAAGGGGGTGCAGAGCTTTCGTAGACACCATGGCTACATTCCTGAGGGCCACACAGACTGCCACAACCCAATTGGCCCAACCACCAACAACACACTGTTTAGGTGAGCAAGCAGGCTTCCAACAGCTCCCTTCTGCAGCTACGGGCTTTTGTCTATAAGACCAAATGGTCCAGTGAAACACAAAATAACCTTCTTTCAAATGTTCTCATAAGGTGAAACCAACAAGCCATTAGGCCCTTGATAGTTGACTATTCCCCAGGCCCTGCATAGGCCTTTCAAGAGCAATGTTGAATTCAGTCATTACCTCAGTAATGAGAACATTATCAAGCAAATCACCTTAATGCAAAGTAACTGTTAGTGCCTCGCTTGCTGTGTGTTTAATTTTACTGTATGTTGAACCTGCACTGAAGCAAGTTGTGTTCTTCAAACCACAGACAGTTCACCAATAAAGGGTGCTTCACTGCAGTTTGACGGCAGTGTTCTTCTGATAGCCTGGGATTAAAAAGGAGAAATATGATGTTCGCTGAATATTTAACACTTACATAAATTAAAGTATGGCTGTTTTGCTATTTAAAAACTGTAAAATGTCAGGGAATACCACAATACCAGAAGTACTGTATGTTTGGAACATTTGTTCCATTTTAATTACAATCACATAAAACTGCTCAAGCTGTATTATAATCATAGACAAAATGCAGGAATGAACACAGCTACTGCTTTACACAAAATGTGTAAGTTACATCAAAAAGATGGGGTGGCATGGAGACAGGTGGACTGAATTGTTAATGGCACAATCTGACTTCCCATAATCTATGCAGGTATTATTACATTTCACATATATTGGACATACTGTACTGTAAATGTCTAAACTCTGGAATTCTTTCCCTCAGTAATGGCCATTCGTATTAGAATACCTGCAAAACAACCTGCAGGGCATTTGGTTCTCTCACCCTCTCAGCTCCACACACACCAGCTGTTTGCCCATTGCCACCCGTTCTTGGCCTCAGAGGGAGAAAACACCACAGTGTCAGCCCAACAGCTGAGGCTGAAAGAGCAATCTGTTGTCATCTGTGCCAGGGAGGAGTAAATCCTATTTGATCAAGAGAAAAAAAATAATAATCACCAGGGAAGCTGAACTCAGAAAGATGAATCAGACTCTTTGGCAATGAGCACTACCAGCTTCTGTGAAGGGAGGGCACGCACCCTCTGTGACAACACCATTGGGCTGATAGCAGTTTGCCACTGGAGGAGTCAGATACAATATTATTGCAGTTAACACAATGCTTGGAATGCAGATAATGACATTACAGTGGAACTTATTTACTTAGAGCCGGACTAATTTCATTTGGAAAGTTGTGGACGCTAGCATTAGCAATATTCGCGTTGATGAGACAAATTAATTTTGTTATTGACTAATGAAGAACTTTCTGTTGCATCCCACTGCTGTAATTACTCCTTCTGAGCCAAGCCTTGATTAAATAGAGAGCTGGACATCAAGGGTTTAATTAAATAGTCGCAAGTTACTCATTTTCAGCGGGAAACTTTTAATCTTTTTGTAATTTTGACACAAAGCTGTTCCTTTCTTCCTGCTCACATACCTGCATCCAACTAACTTAAAAGTGTGAAATGCACATTTATACAAAGCAAGTTAATGAGGGATACTTTAAAACAGAGTGAGATTTATAAACTGTCCTTAAAGTGAGAGATTTGTAAATTCAGCAGTTTACGGCCTCGCTGAGATGAAAATTGGTGCTCAATGCCCTTGCATAGTACTGTAAATGTGTAATACTGGTCATCTGTTCAGCATTCCTGCCAGCAATCAGACCTTGAGAACAGCTGAACAATGTTACTGATTTGTTACAAAGTGTCATTGTGGATTAGAATTTATAGTGAACAGCTGATCTGTATTACCCATTTAATATGCATGAGCTCTAAGCACCGATTTACATCTGAGCAAAGGCATAATGCTGAATTTACAAATCAATGTTTTTCAATTGTAAAGGCAGTTTTTTTTCTACTGTATGTCAAAGTGTCCCGGTAAAAATGACTTTGTGGGATCATCTTAGTCTAGATGACTCTACTAATCAGTTGATCCTTCAAGAGAAATACACTAAAATACAGCTCATCTCCAAATCATGTGCCTTGAAAATGTAATATTTTTCTGCAGTATACATACAGTATATACTCAAGCTTAGTCATTTATTTAGCTCAGGGCGCCCTGACCTACAGGCAAAGCTGGGGCATATCAAAGAAGTAGAGTACTGAATGGTGTAGCATGACAATAATCTGAATAAAGTTGGGAGAATTCTGTAGGGGACTGGCCTAACAGAAGAAATGGCTGCTTACTGTATCTGCTTTCCTCTCATCAATCACCAATCCCTCAGAGCCAAGCAAATCCCATTGAGTTGCTTTATCCTTCATGTATAGATCCATAAATTAGATTTTTTTAACAAGACTCGATGTCTGCCATTCATTTCACCTGCTAATAAGATTACAGTGATTACCAGGTTAAATCAGCTTTTCGCATGAAGCCTTGTTCTTCATTGCTAATAGTGTTTAGGAGCGGGCTGTTCGGCTGTGGTCGGCTGTAACAACCAGCAAGTTGTGAAGGGAAAGGCTATGCTGCAGTTCTGTAAATGAGGTCTGGTCTCTATATGTTATATTCTTTAAAAAGGCACCCATGTTTCTTTCATAGAGTTAATATTGGCATAGGTTTATACAGAATACAAATGCATACCTGCAGATTATGTGTATCATTGCCAGACATCCACTATTATTAGTAGTAGTAATAACATTGATATTTATAAGAGAAAATATTGTTATACATTTTATTTGACATAACTACTATAGATTATTTTTTGCTCTAATACTACTGTGTTCTGTACATGATGCTTCAAAATAGTTACAGTATGTAATTTGCCAAACCGCTTTATACCATCAGGGGAAGCAGGAGCCTACCTGGCAAGCATCAAGTGCAAGGCAGGGTACACCCTGGACAGGGCGCCAGTCCATTGCAGGGTTTCAAAATAGTTTTTGTTTGAAAAAATAAATTATGAGTTATCATAATTTATTATCAGTTCAGTACACAGATTAAACTAAAACAGTCTCAAATGAAGTAAGGATTTAGTTTCTTCTTCTTTCTTCATAGTAAAACCTAAAGATGAAAAACACAGTTCAATGTGCTTCTGTACAGGTCACAGTGTGTTTGAAGCATGGCTCCTATTGATGAGTTTTCTTCCATAGAAAAAGGAGAAGTGGTAACAAGAGAGTGATGAGACTAAAATATTATTAATAATGCACTTCTTAAAAGATAGAGACAGATTTAGATAGGATAGACAGCAAAAATGATGTAATTCAATCTGTTTCGTTACATCTGTTTTTACATTTTGAATTGTAAATTCAAACTGTAAAAATTCACTAACAATAAACAAATTGTTATTAGTTTGAACTAATTTGAACTGATAAATTCAATAAACACTTTTTTTGTGCTTCCTATTTAGTGTGTCATCTCAGAGGAAAGACTGAGAATGATACAGTAGGAAAATAATTCTTATCCTAGAAAAGACTGAAAGCCCACAACAAAAAGTGCAGCAGCAATAAAGAGCCAAGTTTTGTGTTTAGAAGTTTCCTGATTTACTTTTTTTATGCTATTACTAAAATTATTTTCCACCGAAACTCTAAAAATAAATTATGGTGTTGTTGAACTAAAAGTATCCTTGTTGGTGCTTGTTGGATGACTCAATGGTAAATGGCAAATGTGAAATATTAATCAATTTGTCTGAGACAGAAAAGCATTTTACTGAATTCACTTAAAACGCTTTAATAATGGAGACTTCCCTCCACCACCACAATTGTATTGCACCCACCTGGAAGATGTGATGGCAGCCAAAGTGTACCAGTACACTCACCACACATCAGCTATCAATGGGGAAGAGAACAGAGTAATGAAGCCAATTCATAGATGGGGATTATTAGGAGGCCATGATTGATAAATGCCAAGGGGAAACATTTGGCCAGGACACCAGGGTAACACCCTTAGCTAATTAACCCCTCTACAAGAAATGGTTTGTGTGCTTTTAAGTTTTGACACAGAGTATTTGCTGTATGAAATTTCATACTGTACTTTCTGTATGAAAAACTAAAACAGTTACCAATTTTGTTATCATTTTGGTGGGAAAGTAGAAAGTCTATAAAAAGATTGTTCTATAGAATCACACTCCAGCAGTACATACTGTATTTTTATATATTTCTTGTGTTTCTTTTTTTTAGGTGGGCATTGAGCTTTGAGACTAAAATGTCCATACAATATTACACAGGGCATACATTTCTAAACTTTGCATCCTATGTACAGTATGTCCTCACCTATCAACCTACTTTCTTGTAACAGAGAACAGAGACAGAAAGAGTTTAATACTGCGAATGAAACACACTTTATTGGACATCTTTATCAAATATGTTATTACAACACAACTCTCACTGTTTCAGGCACATGCTGAACGTAACCTGGGAGCACAAGGATTTCTCATTCAACAGCAATGGATACCTGGTGAACCCAGCTCTGGTGATTATCACTTTGGACAGAGAGCACCAATGGGATAGGGTAAGTACACCCCTGCACACAAACTGCTTTCACTCTAGCTAGGTCTGATGCCCATTTCAGGAAGGAATCTTCTCGCAAACATAACACCATCCATTTTCAGGCACAAACATGCACACTCTCACACCAGTTTTCTCAGAAACCAGTAACCTGCCAGTATGTCTTTGAACTATGGGAAGAAGCCAGAACACTCAGAAACCACACACCCATGTGAACTCGGTGGGAACATACAAACTCCTCACAGGTACTGGAATGGAACCCAGGACCACAGTGCTACGAGTCAGCAATGCTAGCCACTGCGCCACCCATAAATGACACGTGATCTATTATTCTATTACTCTGTGTTTCTGTACCTGTCAATTAACAAGTTCATACTTTTCATCTCTTGTTCAGATTTGAATTCTAAGCCCACCACTTTCTTGAAATTGGCTTATGGGCAGGCAGCCTTGATGTTGTCATTGATTGATGTTGATGAAGGTTCCTAGAGAAAGTTTTTTTTTAAGCCTTTATGGGATGGAATCACCTTGCTTGGCATTTTCCCAGCGACTTCCAGTGCAATCAGACCTAATGGGGCTGGTCCCCATGCTGTCATGCTGTCCAATGCGGTTGTCAAGTGTCTGTTGTTAGTTGGATTTGCATGTGTCTGGTGCCCACGTTATTTCACGGTTCAAGCTCAGTTGCAATTGTGGGTACAAAGCTGTGGTGAAAGTATAGAGAGGTTGGTTGTGTTGACATGATTTGACATATGCAGTTGAGCTTCTTTAATGGCTAGTAATATCCCTCTCAGATGATAAAAATCTGATGACACTAGTTCTGTCTGACAAGGATATACTGTACAGGACCCTTCAAAATGTCATTCAGGAGTACCCAGTGCGATGATAAAATGCCATAACCCAATCCTGGCAGGTTATCATTGTCAACAGAAAAGAACTTCAGGACCTGAGAGTATGCTTTGCATGGTGCCCTTATTCAATACAAACTCAGGGCAATGGTTTTATTTCCATAGTAAATCATTTGCTGATATTTGTACCGAATTAGTTATCTGTCTACACTGCCTGACAGGCAATTACATTCAAACAAAGTATAATTGATTTTTGCTAAAGTAATTTCTGACTGCATCAATGTGGTTTAGTTTGTTTGCTATAGAGCACTAACAGTACAGTCACACTTCTGATTTTTTATGCAAATAGCAGAAGTCTTCCTTGAATTTTCTTAAAAGATTGTCAGTTGCCTGAAGGGAGAAAAATGTTTTACTTGCAAGGCTAATATCAGGAAATATTGCAGATTCTTACTTTCAAGAAAACAGTGCCATTGAAAAAAAAGCTAACTGGTGAGTATAAAGATAATGTTGTTCTCCTACTTTGTAAATGTTTTATTTTTGTTGACAAAAAAATGAATTTTGGTTGAGAAGAAAAATTAAGCAATCTGATCTTATTTACAAAATTTAGGATGACATATATACTTGAACTTTGTCCTGTACAGACACAGTACAATATGCTTTCTAGTTAACCATTAAAAGTACCAATTTCTAAACCCTTAGAACAATTTAATTATGATCAATTAAAAATATGAATGAAAAGTAGAAAAAGTATTATAAAAGTGGCATTATGTTTACTAGGGTTCTAGTATGAAATAGATTTTACTTCAACTACAAAATTTTAAACTGTACAATTATGATTTTTGTTCCAATGAATTTTAAATTCTAAGCAAGCTGGTTTGTTAAGTGTAAAACAGTAGTCTAGTGCTACATTATATGGAGATTAAATGCCATCAGAAAGAGAAGAACCCTGTTTCTTCCTTTGTGAGTCCTGAACAGAGATCCATGAAGAAGTAAGCCAGTAACCCTAACATACCAAAGCATTTCCATGTGCAAAAATAACCATGTTTGAAGCATGGATAAACTAGACTGTTGTTATAGCTTAAATTAAGAACTGTGTAGGATTTAAGTGAAACAAATAATACAATGCTAGGTATTGTATATCTTGATATAAGACAACTGAGTAGAATTTGGTTATCTGTTAAAAAATGAAATATGGCAGCTAAAAAATATTAATGATGGAGTTACCAAATTAGCCTCAATGTATTGGATTACTTTGTTTTGGAAATCTTTTCATTCCTCTCATTATGAGGCACAGCTAAAACCATTTTGTATATATCTAAAACTTCTGCAAATATCAAATAATTTGCAAATAGGTTAACTGTCCAAGATAAAGTTCCATGTTAATAGTTCTTTGAGCATAAGCCGTTTACTGTATGTTAGTAACAATAATTGTTTCAGTGAGAACCCCTTCAATGTAAAAGAAAGAATATCAATAGATACATTAGCTATTCAGCTTTGTGTCTTTTACTATTCAACAAATTCAATAACCTCCTTTTTGTGATAGCAGGCTTAATCCAATGTCTTTCCAACACAGCCAGCACATTACATATGACATGTCACTAATTTATTACAGGTATAAATCACTGACTTGAGCTGTTCAAATACTGCTTCCCTGACAGCTGGTGAACTGGGGTTTTTATGCTGTCTGGGAAAGTGTCATTTTTTTCTGTTTTTCATAGACAGGATACATTTTCCAAATAGCACAGCATGAACAGGGGAGAGGAACATTTTTGTGAAGTAAAATATTGCGAAGATGTCTTTTTTTTCAGTCATAATTCATAATTCTCTACATCAGAAATCCACATAAAGCAGCTTTTTAAAGCTCTCAAATTTAAGTCTGCCACCTTCACACTTTGGATTCAACCCTCATAATGATTATTTTGTTAGAAAACATTTTTTATCAGAGCCATGTACAATGGCTGAAAGATATGTTGAAGATACTATACAATATGTTGCTTTGGGGATTACTATATTACTACAGTATATTACTAGATACTATATGTTGTCTTGGGGCTTTTGGCTGAGCATATAGATTTATTGAGTTAAAAAAGTTTGGTTATATTAATTAGCTAAATTATTAAAAACATGAATTGCAAATAACTATAAAATAGTATAGATATTTGGAACTACAGTGTTCCACTAAATACATTCAAATTCAAAATTAAATGACTCACAGCAGGTGCTATTTCACAAAACTGCATTTCTTGTCTCCCTAATAACCATGTGTCAGCAAGGATTTCAATATTTAGGGCATGGCAACGTTTTACCACTTTTAACTGTTTGCTTTTAGAATATATTAGATGTCACAAATATAAACAGTAGTGGTTTGGGAGGGTAGTAAAGCAGACTACAGCTCCCCGCAATCACAACATTCAGAGTTGCTAAATTCAGATACTACATGTGGATTTTGGCATATGTTCATGGAAAGAACAGTGCAATATTAATTAAAAGTTAAAATATAGAGAGCATGTTTCATCACAGAGGATTTCGAAGCAACTCACGTATAGAAGAAAACCTATGGCATCAGCGTGTGCTGCAACAATTATGCACCAGCAAGCAGCTTCACTAATGTTATAATAGGTAGGAAATACTCTACAAGCCCACAGTGGGTAGAACATAACATCTCTACTCTACGAAAAGTTTTGGTTTAACATCTCATTCAAAGGATGGCACCTCCATCTGCACAGTGTACATCCGTCCATTTTCTAACTCAGGGTTGCAGGGGTGCCTCCCTGCAAGCAACTGGTGCAAGGTAGGATACCCCCTGGATGGGATGCCAGTTTATCATAGGGCACACACAGACAAAAAATGCCCACACTCACACCAGGGCCGATTTTCCTAGAAGCCAGTTAACCTACTAGTATGCCTCAGGACTTTGGGCGGAAACCAGAGCATATAAACTCCATCCAGATAGCACACCCAGAAGTACAGTATAACCCAGGGCCCCAGCATTGTGAGGCAGCAATGCTAACCACTGCACCACCATGCAGCCAATCAGCACAGTGTCCCTTGTCACTGTATTTGGCATTAATTTGAATTGATTTTTGGGGTTTTGCTTGTTTAGATGAATTTCAATGCCAGGAGGAACCTTGTCTCAATCTTGAAAGACAATGGAAAATCCCAATGATACTGAAAGCGATGGAGACATAACGTTGCATGAACAGAAGGGAAACTACCACCCTCTCGTGATCCTCGTGCAATTCCCCAATAGCTTGGGATTGCTTTGTGCTTTTGTTCTTCACAGCAATACACCACAGCAAAGTAGAGAAGCAATATCTGCATAATGCTGCTTTTTCAGATACTCAGGCCAGAGATTTTGTCTTCAGTTAACCCTAGCCATGGCTGAGACATTGAACAAGAAAATCTGGACAATAATGCACAACCCGTATTCCTAAGAAGTGTCTCTGCTGCTTGAGCCATAGACTAATGCCTCCTTCACCTCCAAAATGTATTTTAAGAGGTTTGAGTCAACCAATGGTCCTGAAAGGTTTAGCATAATTGACTTTGTAACATTTAAAACATCTATTCTCTTCGATTAAAACCAGAGAAGCAGGAATCTTACATTATCTGAGAAATACAAATTGGTGAAAGCAGATAGTACTGCAGTCAAACTGTACCTAGGATATGCGAGTACTAGACAAATGTTTCATATGGGAACACTTTTTATTGCTGAAGTGTGCCGTACACAGTAGCTGACCCCGAAAAATCAATATACTGCATCTCATTTTAAGTGACAATAACAAAACGCCTGAAATTAAAATCTCCAATGATTTTCCTGAAACACTGCTGTTCCTGTTTTCCGGAACATTTCCTTCCAAATGTTAATGACATTTTCTTTTAAAAAAACACGACTGCCTCCCATGAAACAATTATTAAATGTTCATTAAAAAAGACAGCGCTGGGAGCTAGGATAAAGGAAAAGTTTTTCAGTAAAACTTTTGTGTCTATCGTAACTTCCTTTAACCACTTTATCCAATACAGAGTCAAGGGGGAGCCAGGCAGGAACATCCTGGCATGTAACAGGAGGCAGGCAGGCTACACCCTGAATGGGATACCAGTCTATCGCAGGGCACACACAGACATGCACACACTCACACCAGTGCTGATTTTCCCAGAAACCAGT